ACCTCTGTCCCCTTCTCCCTCATCACCCATCCTCCAGACAGAGCAGGATGCACTCCTCTCCCAGCACTGCAGAGCCCACGCCACAAACGCCTGGGGTCCAGAACCCCTGACTGCCAGCACATTCTCCTCTTGGGCTGACCTACATCCTCCCAGCTGCAGTGGGCAGGCAGACATTCAGAAGGGCAGCATGGATAGAAACACCAAGGAAATCAGCAACCTAGCAAGGCCTCTCAGGGCACCAAGGCCTTCAGCGTAGTCACGCAAGTGGGCTGAGCTCCCTCTGCAACCTGGCCAGCTTCGGATTCTCGGAATGTTTCCATCTTAAGCACATGGACGTCAAAGCAATTATGAAAGCTAGAGGACTAAGAAAGCAGTGAGTTCATTCATTAGCAGCAAACTACACTAAATTATTTTAGCAAATATGGCAAAATGTCAGTTTAGCAGCTGGCAGAGACATATATCAGTTCTTCTTTCCAGCATCCCAAGACCGGGGGTCACTTCCTGCAGGAACTGTTTAAGGGAGGGAACTGTAACACAAAAGGAAGGAAAGGAGGTGAATAGGGTGCAGACCAGGGCCAGGGAGCCTGATAACCTGTGAATTATGTGACTAGGCAAATAAACCCTGGATAGATAAATTTTGAGTCTGAGGAAGGACTAGAGACCCTGCAGGTCGGAGGCGGGGGTGGGGGAGGAGGGGAGGTGGCCGTGCATGGAAGTAATAGAGGAGAGAAGTTCTGCTCTGGTCACTCTGGATATGACAGATCTGTAGACCAGTAGAAGCCCAGGGATACCCTGGAGCAGAAGCAATTTTGAGAAAGGGAGGGAACAAAGCAGAAAGAGCACAAAGCCTGCTTTCTTGAGCCTGGCACATGCACACAGACTGACGGCTGCTGGTAGCTGCACAGATGGTCCCTCCTTCATGGAGAACATGGTGCTAGAGGGAGGGACCAGCCATGTGACTGCACATCTGGAGGCCTAGGGGTAACAAAGGAGAGAGACAGAGGGAAAAAGGGAGGAGGATGGGGAGGGACCCCCATTTGCCATACTGAACTGAAAGAGACTGAGCCATCATCCATGGCACCTGATCCTTCCTCACTCCTTCAGAGCCTGGGTGCCTGGTCTGACCGAGGGCAGGAACTCGGGGTTCCTGCTCTCTCCTGAGCCCCACAACACAGAGAACCCCACACTAAACGTGAGCATGTCCCTCAACCTTCCTTGTACCTGTATTTTCTGTGTATCCTTTAGAGAGAAAACAAATGTCCTTTGGTCTGATTCAGTGATCATGGAGGACAGCTGGCTTTTCTCATGTGCCTAGTCTCAAAGGTCTCTATTCAGGGTTACCCTCTGAATCCTATTTTTCATTAACTTGGAAGGCAGGCTAGAACCCCTGGGGTATGCACATGAAATATTTAGCGATGATCTCAACCAACTGCACCAGAACTTCTAAGGATGGAGCCCAGGCCCCTCTATTATTAAAAATCTCCTAAGTGATTCTAATGTGTAGCCAGGATTAAGAACCATTAGACTAATGAGACACAGAGCGGTATCACTGGGAGCATAGCATTCAAGATCAAGGAGGTGAGAGGCTGATCTATTATGAGCTGAAATATTACAATCCATGCCAGGGGCCTCAATATGAAAGGACAATGATGAAACATGCTCAGAAGATGGCAATAGGGGTGGAAAAGTCATATCAGTTGAGGGAGGTAGAAGAGAGGGGAAGGGGCTATTTTGCTGCTCAGATGCTGGGGAAAGGCTGGGGACAGGCCACAGGCACTCTATCTCTGAGGGATGAGATGCATCTGCTCTTGAGACCCAAGGTTTCCTGTATTCTAGCAAGCACCACCTCATCAATGGTGAAACAGTGTCACCATAATTACCTGAAGCTGGTAGAACCAAATCGCAGGTTAAGAACATTCTGACACAAGTACAGGAGATTTAATTTGCTCTGAGGCACCTGAACCCAGCGAGGTGCTGATGAACCTCTGCTATCTGTTACTGTCACGTGTTCCGGGTGCAGGATGCAGGGCTCAGCGCAGCCCCAGCACAGACTTAGACCTCAGCGCTACCCCTACCCCCATCCTTGGGTGGAAGATACACTCACTTCCAGTCCCAGGGAAGTGAGGCAGCAGACGCCACAAGGCAAATGCTGAAGGGGAAATGGGTCCAGAGTGGGTTGGGGAGGAAGAGATGACCACAAGTCCTGTCCATGGCTGAGTCAGGCTCCACCTCTCAGCTCCCTGTCCAGACGGGGTGGGAATTCCCAGTGCCCTACCTGCCCTGTCTAGAATCAGTTTCGCTAGTGGCCCTAAGTAGTCTTCATTTGCATGTTCTTGCTGCTACAGGGACTGACTAAAAAGGCAGCCCAAACAATTGGCAACTCTACCAACATTTAAAATGCACAGGCCTGTGACCCTTAGATCTCACTTCAGGGGTTCCATACTGTAGAAACTCTAGCACGAGTCTGCATTATTTGTATCCAAATTGCATGTATGAACTGGCAAAATATATTCTGGAACAGTAGTACTATAAGATACCATGTAGCTATTTTAAAAGAATGGGGGAGGTCTTTGCAAGAAGCTAGACACAAAATAATATATATTATAGGATTCCATTTATACGAAGTTCAAGAACAAGCCAAACGAATCTCTTGTGAAAGCCGCCACAATAGTATCTCTGGAGGGGCTATTGACTGGGAAGGGGCATGAGAGAACATCTGGATTCTGGAAGTGTTTTATAATCTTGACCTGAGTGATAGTTCTGTGGGTAGAGATACTTGTGTGAAAATTTATGGAGCTGTACACTAAAGACTAGCATCTTTTAAACACTAGATATATGCTACATGTCGATATAAAAAAATAAAGTAAGAAAAGAACTGCCTTGGAAAAATGGTAAAGAAAAACCAAAACAGTTGCAGAATAATTCATATGACTTCATTTTTGTAAATGTGTAAGGCTGGGAAAAAGTCTGGAAGGACAGCAAACCCTTAATAGTGCTTTCCTCTGAGAGGCGGACTGGAGGTGAGGACAACCACTTTACACATTTTTCTATCATTTGCATTTGTAGCATTTGAATCCCCTCCCCGCAGCTTCTCACTTCATGCTAGCCCCCAGCTCTGTGAGTCTCCTGCCCTTGGATGCCTGGGTTTTTGGTTACTTAGGGCAAACAGGCTCCACATCTCAGATTAAGACTTGAGCTTGGCAACAGGATGTTTGGACATCATCCAGCTCAGAGTCTGCCAGGGTCCCTGCTCATTGGCCTCTGTGGACCAGCATCCCACTCAGCAACTGCCTTCTGGGATGAGCAAGGTCAGGTGCCTCCCCCTGAATAGACCCCGTGGGAGACACCGTTTATGCCTGTGAGCAGAAGCAGAATGCTCTGAAAGAAGAAACAAGCAGCCACCCGGTTTCCTCCTTCTGAGTGGTCAAATCCACTAATTGGTCTTCAAGCCTTGGTTACAAATGGTCCTGGAGGTGAATTCTGGTCACACCTCGAGCCAGGCAAATGAACCCTTGCTCTCTCCCCTCTTTAATATGGATGTGACACCTGCAGGCTACAGCTTGTCGCATTGTGAGAATTACTTCTCCTTTAAAATGCAGGAGTTGGAGCTTTGCCCAGAAAGGGCAGCTAAAAATACTTTTCTCTGGGGCATTTGTCACCAGAGACTTAGTGGCCACATTCCTCACCCCTCACCTCACAGGCTAGTCCCTCACCTGCTGCCTTGCTCCCACAAGCACTGATACAGCATCGCATCTGAGCCTTAACCCAGCCCTGTCAGAAAGTAAAAGCACTGGAGACCGTGCCTGTTTTACAGATAAGCAAACTGAGATTCGGAAGGTTGTTCTGCACAACTGCCTGGGGAGCAAGAGTGTGAGGCCCCCACTGCAGGGAAGGAAAGACAAGCCTGCCTGTGTGCCCAGCACTTTATAGTTTGCAGTGTCTTCTTACCACAGCTTTGTCCAACCCTCACAACAATCCTGTGAGAACTGCTATCACTACACCTTACAGGGTTTGAAGCCCGGTGAGGTCAGCAAATGGGGGGTGGGGTGCAGGAGGAGCCTCCCATGGATCTTTTGCTTCTAAAACCCACCTGGAGCACCAGTGGTGGGACTTCAAGCAAGGTGACCATCTCATTCCTAGAGCCATCGACTTTATGACAGGTGCTCTAGTTTGTAAAGAATGTTGCATACTTTTCAGAAGAGGACCTGTCACATCTACTTAATGGATAAGGAAATTAAGGTTCAGAGGTATGAAGGGGCCGGTCACAAGTTAGTAGCAGAGCTAGGAACAAAAGCCATGTGTCTTGACCCCTAGCCCTGGCTCCTCCTGCCACCCCGAGGCCCATGGAGCTCTGGGACCAACTGGCTGGTCCCTCGGAGTCAAATGAGCAAGCATAGTGCACTCTGCGGCTGCCACGTACCTGAATACAGTTCTTGGGAAACCTGTTTGCCTGCCACATTTACTCTCTCTTCTCAATCGTTGAAGGTGGAAGGTGGAGAAAACCTCAGGCCCTCTTTTCGTATAGGAAGAGTAAGGCACAGGGAAGCTAAACGTCCTGCTCAGGGTCACGAGGCAGAACGAGGTCCTAGACTTGGACTTCTGACTCAGGTCTGGTGCCCATTCTACTGGGTCAGCCAAGAATGGCATGCAGAACTCCTTTCCTGTCAGCTTCTCACTGAGTCTCAGCTTCCCCATCTGCAAAATGGGATGTTAGCAGAGGCCCTCAACAGGCCTACGGTAGAGTCTTCTGAGACAAAGAAATTAGGAGATGCTTCCAGGAGTGGGTGGAGACATATACAGTGACCAAAGGACCTGCCTTTCTGCATAGCCAACTTCACTTTACCAAGAGGGAAACTGAGGCCAGGGAGGGCACCATGGCCATTTGAGACCCAGTGCTGTTAAGGGTGGTGAGAGAAAGGAGATCCGGCCCGATGTCCAGGAGGGAACCCTTCCTAGAGTCCTGACACCCGCCCTGCTTCCACACACTTTGCAGAGAAAAAAACTTTGTACAAAGGCATTTATTTTCCCCCAGATACACCCCCATTTAACAAAATTCCTCGGAGTTCCACATTTAAATTAGAAATCCCCACGTCTTCCCTTGCTGGAGAAGGGAGATATGTCAGTGGGAGAACATCAGTTTACTCTACCAGAGGCTGGGGGCCAGCCAGAGACAGGCTAGAGATGTCTGCCTGGCCCCAAAATAGCACCATGGTGGGAGGAGAAGCTGCAGCCCTGCTCCCAGAGGCCTCAGGCTTCCCCTGTGCAGGGCTCTCGGGATTTGTTAGGCCTTGGCTATCTGCCCACCTGCTCGCTCTAAAAAGACATTTTGGGAACCATCAGCTCCTCCAGCTGTGGCAATAGGCTCTCCATCCCTCTCTCCCAGTTTCTGCTCCTGCCCCACCCCACCCCCACCACTCTGGGTAAGGACTAGGGATGCAATGGGGGTGAGGTACCCAGGTTGTGGGCACGGATGAGGGGTACAGTAGGTAGCAAGGCAGGATCCCCTCCTCATGAACTACTGTTCATGAGGGTTCATGAGGGTTTCATGAGGGTTTCCAGCTCAAGGGCAAGCTACTATAGGGAGTGGCTTGTCTTTTCACGGAGGGTCCCCCACATCTAACACAGTGCTGACACCCTATGGGTGCTCAGTGAACATTACTTGAATGGATAAACAAAAGGAAAGGTGGGAAAAGCAGATGGACAAAAGCTGACCCCTAGAGACCCAGTGTGACCAGCACATGCTTCCTGTGGGGAGGGTAGGCAGAGGGGGGCTCACAGGACACAACCCAGAGTACCACGGAAGAGAATGGGCCAGGGGAGGTTTGTACGTGTTCCAGCACGTGCAGCTGCATGTCTCTGCGTGCTGTGAGAGGGGACCTGTCTTTACTTCGTTGAGGGAAAGGCCAAAGTTAGGCCAGGGTGGGAGGAGGCGGGAGGAGACAAGGATAGACTCAAGGAGACGCTGAGGCTGTAGTGCTCCGTCTGAGGAGATGGGACTACAGACAGGTCAAGAAAGGCTGAAAAGTGTTAACTAGTGTATCAGGGCCACTGGAGAAACAAGATGAGGGGTGACCGTGTGTCATGTCTTTGGAGAAATAAGGCAGAGGGTCAGTCTATTGTGTCCTTCGGAGAAAAAAGACAGCCAGATGGTCTGTGTAGCATATCCACTGGAGAAATAAGGTGGTGCGGTGGTCTGCGTATTGTGTCCATTAGAATAAGGCAGCAGGATGATTTAAATATTGTGTCACTGGAGAAATACGGCAGCAGGATGACTTGGAAGTCATGTCCATTGGAGAAATAAGGCTGCGGGGTTGTCTATGTGTCGTGTCCTTTGCAGAATGAGTAGACCCGCCAGGGTAGAAACCATCTGTTGAGGACAGGGAAGCCCCAACCCAGGGCTCGTGCTGAGGCCCCAGTGCAGTCGGAGGTGGGGGCCCAGGGCAGGGGCGGCAGCTCCCTGGTCTTTGTGGTTAGGCTATTTCTTGTCCATCATCTGCATTTCATCGTGGGAAGAAAAAAGTGGGGAAAAAGCATTAAATGCAGAAATTCTACTCTTGAGAGTATGCCAGAACCCCAGGCACACGGTCACATGCTTCCAGGGGCCAGGGATTTGTGTGAGAGTGGCTGCAGCAATCTGACTAGCAGCCCCCCGTGCTAAGTGCTGCCTTCAAGGCCCAGACAGACACAAACACGGGGCTGAATGCCAGACAGACCATGAAGGCACCTGAGGGAGACTGCCCAGTCCTCCCTGGCCTGGCTCAATCCCCATGGGTCCACTCGCCCTGCACACTTTCCTCTCGCTGGTTCCTCTGCCTGGCACTCTTTTCCCTTCCCATCTCCCCCTGCCTGTCCGCGATCCATCTTCCCCAGCCTGGCCCACTTCCCTTCACTAGCAGGAAACCATTTCCAACTTCTCCTTGCTACAGACTTCCCCCAGAGCTTTGCTGTGGGGAACCTCCCTTCCCCTGACTTCCTGACTCCTTGTGGAGGGGTACCCTATGGATGCATAGCCCCAGCCTCACTCCACTCCTTGGCCTGCATGGAGAATTTAGGAGGGCTGGGGTGTTTACGACCTCACCCATTCCTCTCCCATTCTTCGGGCTCTGTTTGTCTGGAAAAATAGCTCTCCTTTCTGGGGACTACCTCTGTGCACTTGTCCAGCATGGCCAGAGCCTGGGGGCCAGGCTGCCACGATGGAGAACAAGATCAGAAAGCCACTGCTCCACACACCCAGGCCACGTTCTCCAGCAGCTCCCTTCAGAAATCAAGCTGACATTTTTTTCTCCATCTGCTTGATCCTTCTGTGCCTCATTTGGTTCAGAAGAACAGGAGGGGGATAACTGTCTCCACCTTTCCGGACACCAGCATAGGCCTCCACTACTGCCTCTACTGCACAGAACATTCCACAGCATTTGAAAGTAATTTACAGAGCGTTTCCGCATCTATAACCATGCCTAATCCTCATAACCATCTTGTAAGTGAAGTATGAGGGATTTCACTGCATTCCACAGGTGAGGAAACTGCCCTAGAAGGTCAGGGGCAGAGAGCAGAACCTAGGCCTTCTGTCCCTCCCAGGAGGCTCTTTCTGCTATATGATGCTGCCTTTCTAAAGACCTCCTACTACCTCTCATGAAGTCTGAGTCTATCACCCAGCTTTTCATCATATATTTTGGACAAGTTCCTGAGGGCCCCATTCCCTCTCTCTGGAAGTTTCCTGAGGACGGGGCCCACATGCTTCTTTCCTCCCCAGAGGAAAGCTAAACATAGAGATGAGCATTCAGGAATTCCTAACAGGGACACCAAGGCAACCTGAAAAGATGTAAGATTCTATAACCTTTGGCAGTCAACTTTGATTTTCTAGGTGTAAGCCACTTAGATCTAGTGGCAAGTCTGCATCAAAGAATACTTTGTTCAAAATACACACAGATACACCCACACAAATACACATATATTTACACACAAACATACATACATACATGTGGCTGTCAGTTACTTTTAATAAGGGAGAATCTCAAAATAACCTCCAATCAATTATTTCCTAATATAACTACTTGTTACAATATGAATAATGATTGTTAACATTTACTACCCATCCACTATGTACCAGCTGAAAAACACATTTCCTAGTCTCACTTGAGTTAAGAGTCATGTGATACATTCTGACCAATGGGATGTAAACAGGAGTGCCATGAGCTATTTCTAGTCAAGCCCTAGAAAAAACTGTACCTCTCTTTCTTCTTTCCCCCTGCCTCAGGGGGGCGGAGGTGGTGGGGGAGGGTGGAAGGCGTGGGAGCTGGAGCAGCCACGCTGCACTTGGGGACAGAAGCTTTGAGTTGAAGAGGTCGGAAACCAGGTAAAGGAAAGCTGGCTCCAGGACACTGGTGACCTTAAGATCACCTATGTTTAGACTGTTACAGGAGAGAGAAATAAGCTCCTGTCCTGGTTAAGCCTCTGCCATATCTGTGCCCTAGTAGAGCAGCCAGGACCTTGGTTACTCCTCCCTCTGCCATTTCACCAGGAGGGTGTCAAGGCTGCTCTTCTGGGGAGGGAGCCTCAGGTCATCAGTGAAGGGTGACAATCCCCTCCCCACAACCCTCCCTGCCTCCTACACACAGGTGCACAAACACACATGCAATCTCAAGCACCACATGTCATCACCTTCTTTGTTTTCGGAGTGTTTCAGAGGCCTCAGGGCTGCAAAAAAGGAAAGAGCACATGGTGAGGGGTAAATTGGGGAAAGTGATGGGGTAGGGGTGGGGCACAGGGACAGGAGCTGATGAAGAAGCGAGGGCAAGAAGGACTGGCAGGAGGAAGAGTGGCAAGAGGGAGAGGTCGGAAGGGAGGAAGCGACATCACAGCAGCAGGGAAGGGGGCCCTAGCTGCTGTCCCAAGTCCCAGCTCCACTCTGTGGCTTGTCGCTCCTCTCTCTGGGCTTCAGTTTTCTGCATTAATAGAATGGGAACAACTACCCTGCCCTCCACCGAGCTAGAGATGTGGAGGTGCACTGAGTCTGCTCTACAAATAAGGGTGAAGTAAAGTAATAAAGGAGGCTGCAGATGTCCCCAGATGGGCCCGACATCATGTGGAACTGACACTGACCAAATCTCTAAGCCACCGGCTTCTCCTCACTCCCTCCCTTCTGTCAACTACCTCTGCCTCTGAGAATGAAAAATGAGGCCTGATCCCAGAGCTGTCTCCATACCCGGACACCAAAGGCAGAGAATTAATTGGCATAATTTATAGCAGTCCCAGGTGTCAATCTCCTGCCCTTCCTTTTGTGGGGATGGGGAGGGAACTGGTATCAACTGGCACCATCCCAAATGGCTTAGCAGGAACCTGCCTCTCCCAGCCCAGGAGCCGGAAGGGAAGGCAGTGAGGGCTCCAGTGGTCGTGAGACACCAGTGTCTCAGTAGCCACCCCACACTGGGCTCCCAGTTTGTGTCCCCATAGCACCATGACCTTTGCGACCCCCTTCTTATCTAGTCACTCTGGGGAGCTTGGAAACAGCCCTCTGGGGCTATTGGGGCAGGAGCAGGATGACATTTTACAGATGGGAAACTGTAGGCCAGAGGAAAAAATCACTTTGACCAGAGTTACCTAACCTCTAACCAGAATGGGACTATCTTAAACTGTCTGCCTAGTAACAGAACTCCAAGGTATTGATCACTTACCTGGCATCAGGTATAGTACTAGGCCCTTTATAAACATTGTCTCATCTGATGAAAACCACACAACCAATGAGGGGAGGCAGTTATTATGAGGAAAGTGAGACTCAGAGATGCAAAGTGACTAGCTCAGGGCCACTCAGCTTTTATGACCTGGGGCTGGAACCTAAACCCAGGCTGCCCTGTCTCCTGTGCCCTAATCCTCTCCTAGGAAGCCACCAAACTCCACAGTGCAGGGTCCCGTGGGGGTGGAGCCGGCTGATAGATTGGTGAAGGCAGGCAGGAGAGGAGAAGCAGCACCTGGGAAGGAATCGGGGAAATCTACCTCCAGGACTAATGCTGAGCAGGACCAGACTCACCTGAGTGGGGAGGCCTCAGTCCACAGGACACATTTCATTTAAACCTCAAGCAAACATGGCTTTTCCAGGTCCTGGAGTCTTCTCTCCTATCCCTCTGTCCTTCCCTCAGACAATAAGGCCAGCTCCGAACTCAGACTTACCCGTCTTGGAACCTTCTCCATCCCCATCCTGGTCCTCAGCTCCTAGAAGAGCGAACAAAATACGTTCTCAAACCCATTTTCGTCACTGAACTTCCCCACCTAGGTGTGTAAGAGGCAGGTAAATGGGGAGCAGGCCTGACCTTGTTCCAAGGTCAGCACAGAGCAGAAAAAGGGCAGGATAAAAGGGCTCCCAGCCTAGAGCCCACCACTCACCAAGCCAAGAAACAGCTACTTGCCTCCACCAATCTGCCAATCTCATCACCTCATACATCCATTCACTCATCAATCCAGTCAACCATCACCTTCTAACATGTACACACATCCGTCTATCAGTCCACTCATCCTTCTACCAGCCCACCCAGCCACCTGTCTGTCAAAAGACCAGCCTCTTCCCCATTCACATAGTCACCGTCATTTCTGATGCCCAGTCTTCTCCTACTTCTCACCATCTACTTTCATGTTTACCCAAGAAAACTTTTCTGTTTACCCATGTATCACCCAACAGGGTCAACTCACCCACTCACCAAGGTCCATTTCCTCACCCACCACCAGAGTCAACTTACTTACTCACCACAAAGGTCAAGCCACCCATTTGCCAATATCAGCTCACTACTTGCCAGTCACCAAAATCAGCTCATACTGACCCAGCCCAGCAAGTGGCTTCAGACTCTACCTACTCTGAGATAGACACACCCTCTCACCTTCTCATAGTGACACCAAATGCATGAAGCTGCTAAATTTGTGCTGCTAAATTTCTGTGCTTTACACCTGCACTCTCAGACACACTCATGGGACTACAATCTCACAGCCACACTTGTTTGCACAGACATATTCAACCCCTCCTCACACTTCGGCCTTACATGTCTACCACTCACCTCCAGTCACTCATATACACACTCCTGCCATATTTGCACACACAGACAGGCTCATACTTCTTCACACATACGAGACATATTCAGCCTCTGGATCAAATTCTAGCCCCTTTTGCACACCCGCACTCATTCTGTCACTGGAAAGTGACACTCATGTTGATGTCACGGACACGGCAACATACCCAAAGACACAGGCATGCACAATCATACACGGCCCCTCTCTCACTCACCTGCATTTTCCTCTTCACAGCTCTGTTTGATCTTTCTCCAGCAAACAAAGGCCAGGGCCACCAGTAGTACAACAAGACAGATGGAGAGTCCCACAGTCACCCATAGGGCCTCAGGGGGGAATGTCATGGGCTGTCCTGAAATGAGAAATGGGGAGAATGAAATCATTATATCTGAGTCCCACGGCCATGAGGACAGCATCTTCCTCCAAGGTATTAACAGAAGGCTCCCACCCTCACTGGACCCCCGCACTAAGAAGAGAGCGCACTTAAGTTTTCATGTCCTTCCTCACTCATCCATACACCCTCCAAACCCTGACACAGCCATGTGGACATGTCCCAACCCGGCAAGGTTGAAGAGTCTGCAGTTGATGCTCAAGAACCTTCTATGGCTCCCTGCTTCAATCTTCATAGGATGATTCAAGGACCTCGATAATCTGCCTGCCACTTACCCTCCCTCAGGCTTTGTATCTCAGCCAAACAAGTGTCCTGACCATTCTCTGCGGAGATACTTGGCTCCTTCCAGCCTCTACACCATTGCTGTCAGTTTCCCCTACCTAAAAAGTGCTCCCAAGCTCCCCACACAGCTTAAGATCCACCTCCTTGGGAGGCCCTCCGTGATTGCTACAGCACCACCTGGTGATATTCTCCATCCAGGTCAAGAGTTGGTGAACTAAGTAAGGCCTGGCAGCCGAATCTGGCCTGTGGCCTGTGTTTGTACAGCCCATGAACTAATAATAGTTTTTACATTTGTAAAGGGTTACAAAAAAATGGAGAAGGAGAAACAGACAGAGAAAAGCAGCAGCAGTAAGAGATGGTATGTAGCCCACAAAGCCTAAAATATCTACTATCCAGACCTTTACAGAAAGTGTTTGTAGACCCTGCAAAGCAAGGAGGGTGGGTATTGAAGGTGCCAGAGTGAGAAGACTTGCCAGAGGAAGGTTTCCATGAAACACTGAGGGCCTCCCTGTAAACTATCTCATGGCAGAGGAAAGGAGCTGAGGTGCCCATGCCTGGGTCAGGGCCAGCACCTGTTCTGAACACACCATCCTCCAGCCCAGCCCCTGCACCCATGCTGGGTCCTGGACAGAGGCCTTGCAGATGACAGATCTAACCAAAGAAAGTGCTGTTTTCCTGTGCTCTCTGAAAACCATGAGCACCGACGGCATCAGCAGCCAGGGGTCAGTGGCTGAGAGCAGTGCCATGAACCCTTCAGCAGCAGACGCCCTGCAGGCATTGCAGCAGATGTTACCTTCAGCCAACATGGCTGGCAAAACTGCTGCTCTGGACATTGGAAGCAAAGGGACCCATCACCCTGAAAAGGAGGAGAGGAGGACAGCAGCTGACATGAGGGGTCAGGAGGGCCAGTCCATGAAGTAAATGGGAAAAACCCCTGGGGAGCCCAGGGTGGGCTCCTGCAGTCAGGGACAGAGCGGAGATGTAAGTACCCAAGGGGAGAGAGGCTCTCTTTCTGTGTTCACTCCTAGGCTGGTTTGGTGCCTAGAATGCAGGTCAGACTTGCCCTCATTCAACTAGTAAAGGACAGCAGGGCCCAGACCTGCTTCTTCAGGCTCCATGTCCAGTGCTTGCTCCATAAAGCCCCCTCCCCACGGCACACTCAACTTCACTAACATCCAGCAGGTGTGGGAGAGACTAGGCTAGAGGACTGAAAGTCTGAATCCTAGAATGTTTACAAGGCACAAAGCTGCCGGAAGCAAAATACAGGCCAAGGGCTCCAAAGTAGGCCAGACCTGCTCTAACAAAAACAGGAGGTTGGGTGGTGGGGAGGAGAGAAAATTAGGCTGAGAGGCTAAAAGTTGAATTCTAGTCCTGGTTCATCTGTTCACTGCAGGGTGCTGGAGCCATGGCCACAGACCCTCAAAATTCAAATGCAAATTACTGCATTTATCATTTATCCAATTTTCAAAGAGGTGCCTGACCCCTAGAAGAGCCAGAGCCACTGTGCTATAGTCTGTGGTCTCAGGAAAGTTCTCTCTTCTCTTGGGGCTTCAGTTTCCTCATCTGTGAAATGAAAGCACTATAAATGTTAGTTATTAAAGTTTAAAATAAAGATTTTTCTTTTTGATGGGATAAACATTCTCCCTGCAACTGCATTTATACTGAAAAGCTCTTTCTGCACAGTGTGGCAAATATCCAATTCAGCCCAGCGTGCAAATTATCCTTCAAGGTCCTCTCAACTCGCACTGGTCCCTGGAGAATTCTGACCACTCCAGTCAATTTCACTCTATCTGATAGTTCTTATTCTTTCTTGTGAACACAGCAGACCATATGCTATTCTTTAAAAGGTCCAGGAGACTACTCAGAATATCCAAGAGCCCAGAGCAGTGACTTCTCCACAAAGAGCACAGATCCAGGGGGTGTCCAGGGAGAGGTTAGGGTCAATCTTGGGAGCGGGGGCGGGGGGGGGGCAGTACTTGCCAGAAGGAAATACCTACAAGAGAAGGAGGAACAAGCCTGAATGCCTAGATGACAAGTGTGATGCCCACCAGCTCTGAGCTTGTCAGCAGTGAAGGCCATGTAAGGTCCAGGTGTGCTCAGGGGGAGGACAGGAATAAATCAGTGAATCCTGGAGGCTTGTGCAGAAACTGAGGACCAAGGTGCAGATGAGGACTCAGGTAGACTAGGTTGTGTGGAAGTCATGGGAAGAGAAAACTGGAGAACCAGACAAATAGAACCTGCTGTCCTGACCCTAGAGTATGTGGAGAGGCCCTGGGAGAGCTCGGCTGGCCCTTGGGGAGAGACTGAGGAACCAGCCTGTGGTCTAAAGACAAATGGAGACTGCCTCCCTTAGCCTGAATGTGGGCCTGAGCCTGCTTCACATCTCCAGGCACAAGGGGTGCCCACTAAGGTAGGCATTCAAGGAAGGGAAAGGGTGTCTGGGCTAGGACCCCAAAACCAGAAATTGAGGGAATTGCCAAATGGGTGGCATCTATCTACTGTTTGACCACATGGGGGAAGCAGAGAGCACCCCACCATTCTAACTGCTGACACTGATAGGATGCAGAGAACTGACCACCTGTAGAGGCCCAGCTATCTCTCAGGGCCTCAGAATCAGATGATGCCCGTAAATGCAGCAACACTTTTTCATCGCCCAGAGAAGTTTCCATAGGAAAACACTCTGTCACCAAGTCCCCCGGGCCATGCCTTGGGGCCGCCCCAGAACTCCCACCCACACCTCAGATTCCAGGCAGGTACTCTTGTATAAGAACAAGTGCCACCTAAGGTGATCCTAGGAGAGCAAATATTACAAATGCCTCTTATCAGCTCATTAAGACAAGTCCCTTAAGGACTTCTTGGGGGGAGAGTTTGAAACACCTGAAACACATGAATATGATTTTTCAAAAGTCTTCTGAGCACCCAAATTTACCTAAATTCCAGCTTAGGGTCTAGAAAAAAGGGGTGACTCCCTCCATCCTTCCCAGCTTTTCATCTGCCCCCTACCTGTAATGGTGACAGAGCCGTGAGCATCCTGCTGCAGCACAGGGTTGCGCACCAGGCAGCTGTAGGTGCCATTAGCGCCCAGCACCACCCTCAGGATGCTGTGCACATCGAACAAACCCTGCTCGTTGGCCATCTGCGACGTGGTCACGTTGCCGGTCAAGGGTGCACCCTGCCCATCCTGCCAGAGCACCTCGGCCTCGGGGTAGCCCCGGTAGCTAGAGCACGTGATGGTCACTGTGTCCCCAGGCCGTAGGTCTTTGTTGGGCTCCAAGGTCATGCTAGGCTTTGAATAGGGGGCTGGAAGGAAGGCAAAGGGTAGAAGTCAAGGTAAGGTAAGGCAAGGACAGGTAAGGCGGGGTCACAGTGGACGAACAGGGCACCTGGGGCTGAGAGTACAAGAGTCAGCACTGAGCAATGGGTAAAGGGTTAGGGAAGTGTGAGGGGTGTGCCAAGGGAAGAGTCCTCCCGACCCTCCCACGCCCCAGGCGCTCACCTGCCACTTGCAGGCTGACTGCAGCGCTTCCAAAGTCCCGGATGCTCACGAAGCAGGTGAAGCTGCCCTCATCCGCCACGCGCACGCGCTGCAGCCTTAGGGATGCATTGCCCTGCACTAGCAGGTCGGAGAAGAGCGCTGTGCGGTTGGCATAGGCGCTGCCCTGGTCTCGGCCCTCGGAGAAGCTGTGCACCACCTGCTTGGTGTCTGTCAGCTGCCAGATGAGGTTGAGCTGCGCCAGGCTGAAGCCCGGCTCCGGTGAGAAGGAGCAGCACAAGGTGGCGTCGGTGCCCACCAGGGCCACTACGGGGTCTTCCGGGACCTGGACCTCCACAGCGCCTGAGGGTGAGGTTGGAGGGGCAGGGTATGAGGAGGAGTGGTGACACTCCTGGCTACCACCGCACAGCCTCCTGGATCTCCACCGCATCAACCCCATGCCCCGTTCATTTTCCCATTTTCTTCCCACATCCAAAAGCAGATTGTCTCAGGACTCCCATACCTGGAGTCTCCCTAATCTTCTGACAAGAATAACAGCAAGTTGGCTTTGGCCTGACAAGGCACATTCCAGGGTACAGACTTGGGGCAACCTCCAACCCTAGCAAACCCCTCTTCTCAGCCAGGACCCATTTCCCTCTCCTCCCCTTCATCTCTGCTGAGATCTGACTGCTTCTCCATCCTTCCGGAGGTTTCCAAAGCCCTGAGTCAGGAGGCCCACAGAGCCAAGAAGGCCCATCACCATCCTCACCCCCTACCCACCCCAGTTATCTTTCCCATTATTACTAGGCATCTCACTGTTCTGGCAGACTGAGGTGGGGAGCTAGATTCAGATGCCGTGGACCCTGCTGATAAGACCAAAACCTCCTTCTCTCAGTGGGACATAAAAGTAAAAAACAAAAACAAAAACAAAAACAAAACAAAACAAAAAAACAACCTGCAGGGCTTCTGTGGGGCGTGATGGTGACGGAGCCGTGAACGTCCTGCTGCAGCACAGGGTTGCGCACCAGGCAGCTGTAGGTGCCATTAGCGCCCAGCACCACCCTCAGGATGCTGTGCACATCGAACAAACCCTGCTCGTTGGCCATCTGCGACGTGGTCACGTTGCCGGTCAAAGGTGCACCCTGCCCATCCTGCCAGAGCACCTCAGCCTTGGGGTAGCCCCGGTAACTAGAGCACGTGATGGTCACCGTGTCTCCAGGCCGTAGGTCCTTGTTGGGCTCCAGGGTTATGCTGGGCTTTGAATAGGAGGCTGGAAGGAGGGCAAAGGGTAGAGGTCAAGGTAAGGTAAGGGCGGGGGCCGAGGGGGGCGTCACAGTGGAAGAACAGGGCACCTGGGGCTGAGAGTACAAGAGTCAGTACTGAGCAATGGGTAAAGGGTTAGGGAAGTGTGAGGAGCGTGCCGACCCTCCCACCCCTCAGGCGCTCACCTGCCACTTGCAGGCTGACTGCAGCGCTTCCAAAGTCCCGGATGCTCACGAAGCAGGTGAAGCTGCCCTCATCTGCCACGCGCACGCGCTGCAGTCTTAGGGATGCATTGCCCTGCACCAGCAGGTCGGAGAAGAGCGCTGTGCGGTTGGCATAGGCGCTGCCCTGGTCTCGGCCCTCGGAGAAGCTGTGCACCACCTGCTTGGTGTCTGTCAGCTGCCAGATGAGGTTGAGCTGCGCCAGGCTGAAGCCGGGCTCCGGTGAGAAGGAGCAGCACAAGGTGGCGTCGGTGCCCACCAGGGCCACTACGGGGTCTTGGGGAACCTGGACCACCAAGGCGGTGCCTGGGGGCGGAGTCGGTGGGTGGGGCGGTGAGGAGGGGCGTGGACACTTCGGGCCTCCCTAGTCCCCCTCTCCTTCGGGGTAAACTTCAAGCCCCATCCACCAGTCCTTTAAGGCAGGAGACCTAAATTAAATTTATTGCCTGCGGTCCTCATTCAGTCAACACGAATACAGTAAGCATCTACTATTTGCCAGGTCTAATGTAACAGAGAATAAGACCAAAGTCACATCCCCTACAGAGCTGACATTTTAATGGGAGAGAAAGGATAAACTAGTACACAAATCCTCATTAGTATGTGATTAGAGGTAGAAGGAAGAAAATAAATCAACGGATTAGAAAGTAAGGTGGTAGCTTTTCAAAAACCTGGCCAGTACTTTACTCCTGTCCGTGCTGGCTGCATTTTCCCATAAGTACATGTTATCTTGATAAATTGGTAAGATGAGTCTAAAAAACTATACACCAAAATGTTAATAGTGGTTTTCTCTAGAAGATAAAGAATCACAAGTGCTTTTTCTTTTTTTCTTTTCTTAAATAAACATAATTAGTTTTTATACAAGAAAGAATACCCATGCCTTTAAATATGGTGGTGAAGTACATTCTTAGAGCTATTAAGCTAAGATTTAAAGAGAATGAAAAAGAGCCTGATGTACAAAGAGCCAGTGTAAGAGTTAGGGGGGAACAGTGGGTGAGAAGGCCCTGAGGCAAGATCCAGCTTGCTATGTGACAATATCAGGAAGCTGTCAGTGTGGCTGAAGCATCTGGATGGGACAGCTTTGTGAGATGGTACGGAATTAAGGGTTTTCTACATGCAATGAGAAGTCATTTGTGGGGTTTTAATAAGGCGTAATCTGGGAAACAATGCTTACAACTCACTCTGACTCCTCCGTGGAGGATGGATTAGGAGGCTATTTCAGTGGTCCCTGTAAGAAGTGATGATGGCTTAACTTCAGAGGATGGCAGTGGTGATAGAGAGAATGGGACAGATTCAAGGTTTATTTCAGAGGGAGAATGAGCAGGGCTTGTTGATGGATTTGAAGTGAGGGGAACACAGGAGCATGGATCTCAGCAGCGTGGGTCAACTCCATCCCCAGGGACACAGCCCAGGCATAGCCAGAGACAAGCCCCCAGTGCCAGGTTCCCCTGCTCCGCCCTTGCCCTCCATCCTGTGGATTTACTCTGCAGCCTTCCCTGTCACCTTTGTCTCCATTCTAGCTCTTCTTGTAGAGCCCTGAAAAGTTATGCAGGTGTTCCCGGCGGCCTTTCTTTTGGAGAGGCGTGCCCCCTACCCTGGCACTGCCATACTTGGGTAATGGTTAGATTGTATGCTTTGGGCACCAGCAAAGCAGGCACAGTCAAAAAGTGTAAAGATCAAACAGTCTTGACACAAAACTTACTGAATACAGCACCCAAAAGGTTTCTTGCATTTAGAAAAATAACATTCAATGGTAGTGTTTTTGGTATCCCCACACAGAGGGGGATACTATAATCTTTTCAGTGCATAGAGATCTCTAGAAGTCTTAAGCTGGCCCTGGATCTCGCTGCAACCCCAGGTGCCCCAGGCCAGCCCTCCAACTGGAGACCAACTGGAACAGAAAACTCCTTTTAGGGGACATTTAGGAGAGGAAACCTGAGACATCACCCAAAGCCCTTTCTCTAGAGAAAGAAAAGCGGCAGATAGAGAGATGCTTCCTTTTTGTGACCACTAGACGGCACCAAACACTGAGCTTTATCTTCCTCCACAGAGGAAGGTGGTAGGTCTCCAGAGCACAGGCACTGATTAAAATTTGAAATATGGGATGAGGACATTGTTATGAAAGTGGCTGCCATTGTTGAATGCCAACTCTGTGCCAAACACTGTGTGGGAAGATTTACATCATTTATTCAACATGGTGATTTAGCACCTACTATGTGGCTGGCACCAACCCTGGAACCGGGGATAGACCCTGTTCTTTGAGCAGAGCAAGCAATATGCAAGTAAACATATAATATGTCAGGTGGAGATAAATGCTAGGAAGAAGCATGAAGTAAGGTCAGGGCTGCGGAGGGATGTGCTATTTTATAAAAGGTAGCTAGGAAAGCCTTGCTGAGGAGGTGACATTTGACACGTTAGTGTTCACATTACCATTTTATAGAAGAGAAAATGGAGGCTAAGAAATGTAAAATAAGTTGCCTGGTGGCTCCAGGAGGTGGAAATGAGCATGGACAGGGTACTAAGGAGACTGGGAGGAGGTTCACCAAAACCCTCCCCATCCCTGCTAGATTAGACAGGCTCTGTAGGACCCCTGGTGGGAGAGGGTGCCCTTCCCCGACCTCAGGTCCCCACACTGCACTCCTCACCTGTGAGGCAGAACCAAAGCCCTCCCAGGGCGGTGGCCACACGCACACCTGTGGCAGGGCTGCCCATCTTCCTCTGGGGCAGCTGACAGCTGGGCTCTCTGTGGTGGAAGGCTGCCCCTGTCTGTGAAGAAAAGGAAGTGAGACCTTGTCTGAAAAGGTCCTCCCCAGGCACACTCTCGCCTCATCTCCCCCGAACCAGCTTAAGGGAATTTCTGAGAGATGCTAGCAGGAGGAAATTTACGAACTGTGGAGGCTAGACCAGGGGAAGTGGCCGGGACCCACCCTTTCAGAACTAAGATGTAAATATAAGGAAGAGCAGGCAAGGTGGCAAGTAAAGGCAAGGTCGGCCTGCTGGGGCAAGGATGCACACAGATCAGTTTGGGGAGAGAAGCTGAGGCTGGAGCCAGACTTAGGGATAGACTAAGAGGTCTGACTTTTACCTTGAAGGCCCCTGGGAACCATCAAAGATTCTGGACTAGGGGAAAAGATATGGTCAGGGCTGTGCTTCATAAAGATTACTCTGAAGGTATCTACAAGATGAGTGAAAAAAGCTGAACAGAAGAGACGAAGCAG